AACACTATATATATATATAACGTATATATATATATATATATATATACACATTATATATACGAATGTATAATTTAAGTAAATAATTGTTTGCAATTTAGTATGCTGTTTCTATCTTTAGCATGAGCTTTTTTTACTGTATTAATTTATGTGGTGACAGTTGCTTGATCGGCGTGTCATCCACCGGCTTTATCTTGAATTCGACTTTGCCAAAGCATGATTCAATTTTCGGCACTTTAAGCCCGCACTTAATGTTATACCGTACATGAATAGAATTACAATTTTATACACAAATTCGTAGAATTTACAAGTTCACGATTTTTATTGTTTAGTCCACAAAATTGTAATTAGCAATTAGTTCATTAACATAGAACTAGAGCAAACGTTTAACAGTCCCATATTTAACGATCGAATTTACCAAACTGTATTTTCTATCCTAGGTCCACCGGGAATGAATCCAATGAATCCGAGGATGAATCCCCCACGAGGACCGGGAATGGGTCCGATGGGTCCTGGAAGTTATGGTCCAGGTATGAGAGGGCCACCGCCCAATAGCACTTTGGGTCCAGGTGGACCAGGAGGTCCTGGAATGCCACCGATGAGTATGGCAGCTCCAGGCGGTAGACAACAATGGCAACCAAACACATCTACGGTATAAATACATATTAATTTTTTTATAAATACATATTAATTTTTTTTCTCAATGCATTTGTAAGCTATTTAAAACTGTCTTACGATTAAACAATATGAATAACATCTTCTTGTGATGATAGCCGATGAATTATTCGTCGTCATCGCCGGGCAACTACGGAGGACCACCTGGATCAACAGGTCCACCAGGACCTGGCACACCTATAATGCCTAGCCCACAGGATAGCAGCAATAGTGGAGGAGAAAATATGTATACCATGATGAAGCCTGTACCTGGAGGAAACATGCCGGGTGTAAGTGGCTAAATTTTCTAATACATTCTTACTATAATTATTTTATCTTAATAAATATTAGATGGCAAACTTATTATTTTGCAAGAAGATTTAATATTTAAAAGCATCTACATATAAATGATATCATAAATGCATTTTAGGATTTCCCAATGAGTGGCGGACCTGAAGGTGGGCCAATGGGTCCCATGGGTCCTAATACAATGGGTCCAGTTCTAAACGGCGATGGTCTTGACGGAATGAAGAACAGTCCAGCAAATGGTGGTCCTGGAACACCACGGGAAGATAGCGGCAGCGGAATGGGTGATTATAATCTGGGTGGATTCGGAGCTCCTGGAGAGAATGTAAGTATGCACAGGTTCTTTAACAACTTTTCCTAATGATCACTCGACGTGTTGTTGTGGATTTGTATGTCATCGTTTCTTTCCGGCAAATCACTTCTCTCTTATTTTGTCTGTATTTTATCTTTATATGTTAATCAAATGTTTTCAAAAGTTTATTTCGAATTATTATCTCCTTGCATTATCATTATTTCGTGCTACATGGCATACGGATCCATGTTACAACTTATTTGCCCTTCTAATCATCTCAATTAACAGCCACAAGCGCTTCTATCAGTACGGCGGATATTCACGTACTTTGCTAAAATAATATGGGTTCAGTCTCGTTCAAGGGATTTATCCTCAGCCTTACTCCAACAGGCTTGTTAATGCTTTCTTACAGAGACTATCATTTGTCCCTATAAATTTTTTGGAAGGTGTTCTGTTTAATCACGCGTCACATGGTATTTTGGTAAATTTAATCAACGTCATTTTTGATCGCATCTAATATTTGTCATAACCGTATTCGCTGAAATTGCGTCTAACTACTATCACACTAACAATACGTCTAACGATGCAGCTATAAAGTGGGCAGAAAGATGATGAGACAATATGAGTATTAATATTATTAATGATTGTATATAATTTTAGCATATGGTTATCAAATTGCATTTTGTAAAAGAAATTGATATTTCGTGTAAAACTATTTAACGTTATATTTATCGAGTTTAGTTTTATTTTATTATTTTTATCAATAAAAAATAAAATTCATATATATTAATATTTAGCTAAATATCTCAAGTTCTTTCTGCGTGCTTTACAAGATAAAGTATCAAATTATTTCCGTGCGACAAAGTAATCGAACTTTCGATTCAATCGTGTATACGATTTTACACGCTAATCTTATATAAGATTATCAATAGGATATTAACAAGGAACAGTCACGACGCTTTCGTCTGCGATTTTGTTGAAACTTTGGCGATTTGATAATTGAAAATAAAAGACAAGATTTTTTTTTGTTGAAGAAAATTTTCATTTATTAACAGACCGGAACTGTTATGAAGCTCATTGCCTAAAATGATATTTTAAATTAATTTAAATTTTTAATTAAATTTATTTAAATATTAT